TGGCATTTAGTAGAATGTTGTGCAGCCACCTCCACTATCTAGTTCCAGAACATTTTCATCATCTCCGAAGGAGACCCTGTACTCATTAAGCAGTCATTTCCCATTCCCCCCTCACCACCAGCCCCAGGCAGTGACGGCTCTGTTTCCTCTCTCTGTGGAGTTGCCTATTCCAGTTATTTCTGTTCAGCTTATTTTACCTAGCATGGTATTTTCAGGGTTCATCCATGTTATAACATGTGTCAGGACTTCGTTACTTTTCATGGCTGAATTATGCCACTAAATGGATATACCACGTTTTATTTATTCACTCATCCGTTGACAGACATTGGGTTGTTCTTATCTTTTGACTAATGTGAATAGTGATGCTATGAATGTGCGGGTACAGGTTTTTGTGTAGACACTTGTTTTCAGCTCTTTGGGGCATATAGCTAGGAGTGGGGTTGCCAGGTCATGTGGCTATTTAATGTTTACCTTTTTAAAAAAAGGAACTTAAAATGTTTTCCACTGGGACAGAACATTTTACATTCCCACCAGCAATCCATGAGAGTTCAGGAAAAAAAATTTAACAATTCTGTTTCCTTGGTGGTTCAGTCTCTGGGCTCATCCGTTTAGCTCCTCTGGCACAGGAACTGCTTTTGTTCACATGTGTATTTGCTTATACCCTGGCTTGTCCCACAGAGGCTCTGAGGCCAGAAGGATCACTGGGTGCTGTCTCCATGTTACACCGTCCCAGGTCAGGGTCTTTGTTGCATGCATCTTCCTGTCCTCAATGAGAGGTGCCATGCACAGTGCAGGACATAACACAGGCACTTGCTCAGCACTGGCCACGTCGACCCAGCTTTGGACAGTATTTAACAAAGCATCAAAATACAGAGGCAAGGCTGGGTGCAGGTGCTCATGCCTGTAGTCCCAGAACTTTGGAAGGCCAAAGTGGGAGGATTGCTCAAGGTCAAAAGTTTAAAACCAGCCTGGGCAGCATAGCAAGGCCCAGTCTCTACAAAAAAATAAAAAATAAATTAGCATGGTGGCATGCACCTGTAGTCCCAGCTATTTAGGAGGCTGAATCAGGAGGATAGCCTGAGCACAGGAGTTTGAGGCTGTAGTGAGCTATGATGATGCCGCTGTACTCCAGCTTAGGTGGCAGAGTGAGACCCTATCACTAAAAATTAAAAAAAAATGCAGAGGTGAGTTTAGAAAAAAGTATGATTCTGCTCTGAAATGCTGGGTTGGGCACTCCCATCTGCTTCCTGCCCTTTACCTGGCTCTGTAGAAAAGACAGTGAACGATAATGTAGTAGACATGTCCAGGTGTGCCCGGTGGTCAGAGGTGGAGGAGAGATTTCAGCAGACCAGGTGCAGAGAACAAAGTCAGGCCCAAGTGTGCTACATGGGACTTCAGTGGCGGTAGCAGCTTTTCGGCGCTCCACGGAGCCCCCAGATTTAGCAAATAACAATGCAGGGTGCCCAGCCAAATTTGAATTTGGCACAGGTATAAAATTTTGATTTTACAAGATGAAAAATATTATAGATAGATGGTTGTGATAATCACACAAAATTATGAATGTATTTAATAACACTGAACTATACACTTAAAATGGTTAAGATGGTAAATTTTATGTTTATGTGTATTTTACCACAATAAAAAGTTGAAAAAAACATTTATTTCAGATAGACAGTGGGTCATGTGGTCATTCAGCCTTTACCATTTTTAGGAACTGCAAATGTTTTCCACGGTTACAGAACATTTTTTTTTACATTCCTATCAGCAACGCACAAGGGTTTTAGTTTTTTAGTCGAATCATGTCCCATGAAATATCTGGACATCGAGGTGCAAGAGGGACACTCCCTTCCTCCCTTCCATTCACAGCCTGCCTCAGAGATTTTAAAATACAGACTGGCTGGTTTTCCCAGTGTGTCTTGTCATGATACTTCTAAGCCACAGATCTGCTTTGAAAAGATACGATCTCCCCCATGGGAGTAACTACGGCAAGAATAAATACTTTATCCAAGCTCCTGTTCTCCTCAAGATAAATATCACAGGAGTGACCTGAATTGTAAGGAGGAATGGGAGAAAAAGAACAATACCGTAATTTTTTCTGAGCCACGTATATGTCAGGGGACGGATTCGAGGGCTTTTGAAAGAAGATGTCCACGTGGCTGAGTTAGACCTTCTATCTGACCCCAGAGGTTTCTGCTCTCAGCTCATCCCTGCTTGGAGCTCTTGTTGTGTGGTGGGTCTCCGCTGACCCCCGGAGCTGGTTGGAGGAAGAAATCTTTGTTGGAATATCAGATGACTGAGGATGACAGACTTTTTTAAAAACAGAGAATAGGAAGTGATTCCCAGAGAAAGCTGTCACCAAGCTGAGCCATTCATCAGCCCTGGGATTTCATGTTTGAGGTAAAAGTATTGCAGACCCGTGGGAAGACTGCGGCTCGCCTAGCTCTGAGCTAATGGTCTCTGTCCCTAACTGGAGCTCCTAACACACTTGTGATTCAGGAGAGCGCTCGGAAATGTTATGCCTTTATTACAGATGGCGTGAGCTGAGTGGGTGTGCGCTAGTTTGATGATGTTTCATCCAAAGCAATGTGGGTTATGTTGCTGTATTTTCAGTTTAATCAGGCAGACAAAATCAGAATTGACATTTTAAAAATCCAAGCTTTAGTTTCACCAACTGGAGCCAAGATATTTATTAGAATGATTTATTCACATTAGTATATTTTTATTACAGGCATTTATCTCTGCCCTGAGCAGCTGTCCCTGGGTCTCGACGTGTTGAGACCAGCATGTGCCACGCCATACTTTAATTTGCTGTCATCCAAGCTCCATGGGAGGTTCCCCACCACATGAGCCTATGTCACCTCACCTGCTTTACCCACTGCCCTCTCTGAGTGGATGGCTGGCACGGCTTCAGCCCATGGCATTGAGAACGCCCCACCGTAGTTAACTTAGTGAGGGATGGGACCCTGCTCCCTCTGTTGGCTGTGGAGGCTTGAGGAACCCTGGCCAGCATCATATGTTGAGTGAGGTGTGGCTGGTGGCTCTAGATACAACAGGATTTAAGTAAGTACATTTTAAGGATGCCTGGAGCCCCAAATCCACGTGGACCTTGAAGCACGTGAATTTCAGATGCTGCCAACCTCCCCTTCCCTCCCCCAGATGGAAATTGGAGCAGCAGATGGGCTCTCCCAGGGAGAAGCATCACAAGCCCACCCTCCTGCCTCTTTGCAAAACAACCTGGCTGTTTGGTGCGAGATGTGGTTGTCATGGTGATGAGTGGACATCTGCTTGGGAGGGAGTTAGAGGAAAGGCTGACGTGGAGGAAAGGGTCACACCTAGAGAAGACCTTATGTTGCCCATGGACACCTCACACTGTGGCCCCGCACCTGGGAGTCCCGCAGGTGGGGGGCAGGGGTGCTGACATCAGCCTGTGCCCCGCTCCCCTGCTGAGCCACAGGCCCTGGCCTGAAGGTGCACAAAGGCACAATGGCTGACCCAGACCTAACCCATGGGGCCCCACATTGCTACCCCACCCCCCGACATATCTGACAGCCTTCTGAGAAGCTGTCGCCCTACATCTGTGGCCTTCCCTCTGCCTGGAAACTTAGATCCCACCCCAGCTGTAACATTTGTAGAACAGATGTAGTTAACCCAGTTTCATTTGTCAGTGGGTCTGTTTGTTTCCTTGAGGTTTTTCTGGAGACGACTAGTGCCCATTCAGCAACTAGAGGCAGGACAGGCCTTCAGGAAGCCAAGTCCACACGGGACAGCCACTGTACTTGAGAGCTTTCAAACAAGAGGGTAAAATACTGGCGTGCACTAAGCGCACCTTGAGACAGTTAGGTGTCCTCAAAGGAGCTGTCTGTGGGGACGTCCCAAATTAGATTTGTATGAGAGGAGGATGTGAATAGCATTTGAGGTGAGCTGTCCTTGTTGCATCCTTTGGGAGCTTTTTCCTGGTGTCCCTTGACCATAGCAGGAAGAGCAGAGCCAGGGTGGACTGGGGTACTTTCTTTAAGAGAAGATTTAAGACCTGTACTTGGGGCATTTTATTTTTTGTAGTGGTAGATTGGCTAATTTGCGTTTATTCTCATGCAAGAATTTGAGTTTTTTAAAAAATATGGTTTTTAACTTTTGGGCTGTTTTAGTGGGAATGTAAAATGGTACTACCCCTGTGGAACATAGTATGGAGGCTCCTCAAAAATTAAAAATAGAATTACTATGTGATCCAGTGATTTTACTTCTAGGTATATTCCCAAAGGAAGCGAAACAAAGACTCAAACAGATATTTGCACACCCCTGTTCATAACAACATTATTCACAGTAGCCAAAAGGTGGAAGCAACCCAAGTGTCTGTTGATGGATGAATGGCTAAACAATATGTGGTCTATACACACAGTGGAATATTACCTAGCCCTGAAAAGGGAGGAGACTGATGCGCACTTCAATATGGATGAAACTTGCAGACACTTTGCTAAATGAGATAAGCCAGTCACAAAAGAACAAATACTGTGTGACTCTGCTTATATGAGATCCCTAGAATAGTGAATTCACAGAGACGGAAAGTAGAGTGGTGGTTGCCAGGGGCTGGGGGAGGGGCTATGGGGAGTGATTGTTTAATGGGGACAGAGTTTTAGTTTGGGAGGATGAAAAGTTTCTGGAGACAGGATGGTGGTGATGGTTGCACAACAGTGTCAGTGTACTTAGTGCCACTGAACTGCACACTTACAAAGCGTTCAAATGGCGAACATTATGTTATATGCGTTTTACTCCAGTTAAAATAATAACACTTAAAAATGATTTAAAGAAACTTCTTTAGAAGTATGAAAGTATGCATATGAACTGTATAAGAGTTTAAGATAATTAAATATGTATGCATGATACACACATCTACACATACACATACATTTCACCAAATTGTATCACATTACATATTCAGTTTTTGTGTCTGGGTTTATTTCTCTAATATATAAAAACACAGTCTTTACCTTCCCGGTTTGCAGGTTTGCAATGGTTTGGAGCAGCCAAGGAAGCAGCAGCGCTCTGATCTCAATGGACCTGTTGACAATAACAACATCCCGGAGGTAATTATCTCCAAGGATGGGCGTTCTGGGCTGGGGTCCTGATGCTGCAGCTGCCTGCCCCGTTGTGTTCTGCTCACTCTGTCCATAATGTTCTTGTCCCATCTAGTGCCAGGGGGAGAAGGGGTCTGGTTCAAGCCAAATTGGTGTCAGTGTGTGGGGAGGCGGTGGGGGAACTCTGGCCTAGTGGGAGGGAGGAAAGGGCCTTTCCTGCTGATTCAGGACCCGACCATGGCGTGTTCATTGGTGTTTCCTAGTTTGATTGAAGGTCATTCTACGCCATTGTCTGATAACCATGTTCTAAACCAGGGTTTCTCCACAGTGACACCACTGACATTCTGGCCTAGATAATTCTCTGTTTTGGGGACTGTCCTGTGCACTGTAGGATGCTGAGCAGCATTCTGACCTCTACCCACTAGAGGCCAGTAACAACTGTCCACCACCACCACCACTAAGTTGTGAAAACCAAAAATGTCTCCAGACATTGCCAGATATCCTCTTGGGAGCAAAAATTATCCCAGTTGAGAACCACTGTTCTAAGCCAACAACATGGTTTAAAAAGCAATCCCATTTAAACTTACACTGCCATGATGGAGGCTATTACGATGAGGACTTAAGCAAATTATTTTCCCTCTCTGGGTAACATAGTTTAGATGAGATTTATAACTGTGATGATTATGGCCACCCATGGAGTGGTGTCCAGTCTCCTTATGTCTTGCCTTCAAACATATACCCAGGTTGTTCTCATGCCCACATGTTGGAGACCCACTGGGTTGGATGGTCTTTAGACTCCCTTCTAGCCATGATGTGCTAATCTGAGGGTCCCTAAATTTTAGATGGGGGTCTTTTAGGCCCCTCCCAAAGGTCATGTTGCCTGCATGAGACTGGTTTGCTACCTGGAGCTGACTTCTTGGGAATAACAGCCACTCATGGAGTTAGCTTTTCTCATTATGGTACACATCTTAGCCCTTCTTAGCCTACATCTTACAGACCATCTACTTACAAAGGGTATGTGTTTTATTTTTTCATATTTCCTAACAGACAAAGAAGGTGGCATCATTTCCATCATTTGTGGCTGGTAAGTGACTTTGAATTTTATCTCTCAGGGGGTAGTTGCGTTTGTCAAAACAAATGATGCTTTTACTTTTGACTTTCTCCTGCAAAGCTTGTTTAGCAAACACACCTTCCAGCAAGGTGCCCGGGCACTGTGTATTGTCTGAGTGCCGCAAAGACCTACTTAGTGGGGAGGGGAGGTCCAGCTGATTTGCCTGCTTTGATATAAGGAACAGTAGGCCATCTCATTTAATTACAGCCTTGCTAATTGCATTGTAGATGACACTGATGACTGAATGAATAGATTGAAATGTGTCTGTATAAGCAGCTCATTATAGTTACCATTTTGATCGGGTTGGATATAATGGCATTCAAATTCAGGCTGTTGTTCCTTTTTTAGACCCTTCATTTCCCTTCACCCTCCCATCTATTTTGAGGAGGTTAATAGTGCATTTCAACATTCAACAAAGAACAAAACTGATCGATCTGCTCTGTGTCACAGAACAGGTGTGTGGGGAGCGCACCTGCTTGGCTGTTGACAGAGCTGACTTTGTAAGTCTGCAGTGCATCAGGTGACCTCACTGGGGCCCTTTAGGAGGTCCTATGGGTTGCTTCTAGTGCTCCAATATCCCGGTAAAGAGCCTCTTGAGTAGGATTTTTCTCTTTGCCAGGAGGAGGTTTCCTGCCCCTGTTAATGTGTTATAATAAACAATGCAAATTTTATTAATTCTTTCAATAAACTGGTAATTAATTCTTATAAATATTTTGGGGAGCAAGTTAATTTATTCTTCTCAAATAAATGACTTTAAACCTTTTCTACTCTGCTCCTCTTTTTTAATAATGAATTGAAGCCTGGGAAACTGAAGCCTCCAAATTCTCCTTTAAGGGACGAGTTTGAACCAGGCTAAACCAGGTCCAACTTGGTTAAAATGGATTAACCTGCTCAAACCAATTTCAGCTGTTGTAACCGGATTACTATTGTTCAAATTGGATGAAAACCTGTTTTAAACTGTCAGAACTAATATTAGACAATTCAGATAGACTTGGCTCCCTTTTGACCAATTCAAATAGGCTCAAATGGGTTTTATCCAGCAGTTTACATGTGGTTTTAGGATGTTTTAGCTGGTTCAAACTGACTTAAACTGGTGATCAGGTCACAGCAGGTTATGATTCCAGCCCAGCTGGCTAGTTGTAGTTTTCTAGGACCTAATGATTGGCAGGAAGAGAATATCCCCACCCCCATTCCCAGAAATAGGATTTGATTAGGTTCCTGATTTATAGGAGGCAGTGTCTCCTAGGCAGGGGTGGATGCAGCTCATCTCTGCACCATTTTTCTTGGCAGTCAGAGGCTGGGTGGGGAGGTGCCAGTCACAGTATTCCAGTGAAGTAGGGTCTTACGGATCTAAGAAGCTCACTTTTCATCGGCTCATGGCATGGTGTCATCCGGACAGAACTGTTGAGCTGTCCGGGAGGGTGATTCGGACAGTAAACTCCCCTAGCTCCTGAACCAATCTCATATCTGTGGGGGCAGGCAGCAAGGGATGGGGAAACAGTGTCCATGCCTAGGGTACCTCTGACTGTGGCTCCTGGCATTCCAGAAGACTCAGTTCTCTGTACCACCCCAGACTGTTCCAAAACAAAGCAAAACAAGGTTGGATGCCTCAGACCAATTCAGATTGGCTGAAACTGCTTGTGACCAGCTCACACCAATGCAGACAACCCTAATTTAGAGTCATTGCTGAAGGAGAGAAGCTCTTTGATTGTTATGAAAATACAGAGACCGTAAGCATAATAAAAATCATATCCCTTCATGTTAGTGAATGTGTATCCAACAAAGCCTTCATGGGCCAAAAATCTTACTCAGCAAATGATGAAGAGCTAATCATAAAGACTGTCCCATATGACGAATGTGGGAAGACCATCTGCAGATTAACCACCTTTATAATTAGGAATGCACTTGAGTGCAGGGACCCACACAACCCCCTGATGTTAGCTTGTCCTGAGAGGGAGGCGTGTCTTATGTACAGAAGTCGAGGTGAGAGGCTGCTGGTTCAATGCCTTTGGGATCAGGAATCCATCTTTGCTTCCCTTGGTCTCAAACTCGGGCTTGTCGCCTCACCTTCACAGAACGTCTGAGTCGCTGCAGCATCACCTCCTGTTCCAGGTAGGGAGAAGGGCAGAAGTTTCAAACCAGCCGAATGTCTTCCCCTTTATATTAGGAAAGCAAAGCTTTTCTGTGGTTAGTTAATGAACTCTCTGCGGGAGAATCTGGCCTTCTATTAATTTCCTTAGCCTGTTCGCTGGGTAACAGGAAAGGTAGCTTGTCAACCGTGTCACTAGGTAACGTTGCCTATGGTAAAATGACTCTTATAATAGACTGTGTGTAGATGAGAGAATTACACTCCTTGTGGGGTGCTGCCGGAGCTTTGGGCTTCCCACAGTGTTGCCTCTTGTGGCTGGACATGTCCCTTGAAGGGGACCCTGGAAGTTACGCCCATAGAGAGGTTGTAAGAGATACTAGCTCTTGGGAACGTGAGGCTCTTAAACCGACGGGTTCCACACATCATTCTCGATGGGCGTTTTGTACCTGCACAGCTGAGCCCGCCTGGGGCCCAGCAAGAGCATTTGTGTGGGTGCCATAGGGACATCTGAGCGGACTCCCAGGGAGGAATCCAGCCGGCAAACCGGCTTCTGCCTTATTCCTGCTGAGTAAGTGGCCCGTGTCTAGTTGGACCTTAGGACGCCTCATGAGTCTGACTGTTTAGTTGGACCTTAATAGACCTTGAGGACCTTGCCAGCACACTTGTCATTTCTCACCGGCCAGAGCCGTGTCACATGACCAGCCTCCAGGTCCAGCATCAGCTAGAGAATCAAGTATTTGGCTTCTCACGAGGGTGGGAGGTGTGGAAATGAATGTTGTGTGAGCAAGGCCTCCTGGTCTGGTGAGCATTTCGACCTTCTGGCCTTGTCCCGTGCTGAGGTGGAACATGGGCGCCGCTGAGAAGACCCAGTGTGACTCGGCAGAGGGGCGGGCCTTCCACCCTGTCCGCAAATCTGAGAAATTGCCCTGCAGGGAAGCGTCCCTGAGTGTTAGCGAGCATGGCCTTTGTCCCAGCTCATGCCTTATTTCACATCAGACAATTATTAATAATAATGAAAAATAAAATAGCAGTAACAGTTAAAGCGATACCACCTTAACTTTCACTGGGCTTAGCGTACAGTCCCTGTGCTGTGTGCTGTGGCTCTATTTCGTGTCACTTGGTCAACCACTGCAGGATGAGTAGGTACCGTCCCCCGTTTTATAGGTTAGAAACCCGATGCAGTACATCGGGCAGTACAGCGTGTGGGCGTTGAGCTCAGACTCCAGCCTGAGTTCCAAGCCCAGCTCTGCCACCCTCCACCTGGTGACCTCGAGCCCATGACCTGCCTTCCCTGGACCTTAGTCGATGTGTCTATAACCACACGAGTTACTTTAACTTCACTAGGTTAAAGTAAGTCGCGTGAGGTCCCACGGCTGTGGAGGGGGAGAGCCTGGGCTTGGACCCAGGTCTGGGCACTTGACAGTGTAAGCTCTTAGTGGCGGTGACCTCCTACCTCCCTGGCATGCTTTGTGCACCACTGCCATCAAGAGGGGGAGTAGGTGAACCCTATATCAGGTGTTTACTCTGAGGCAGGCCCAGACCTACGTGTTTTGATACATCAACTCAGTAATCACTGTAACAACGCTGAGAGGTAGGTGTGGTTATAGACACATCGACTAAGGCCCAGGGAAGGCAGGTCATGGGCTCGAGGTCACCAGGTGGAGGGTGGCAGAGCTGGGCTTGGAACCCAGGCTGGAGTCTGAGCTCAACGCCCACACGCTGTACTGCCTGAGCGCCCCTCAGCATGGCACAGGGGCGCCCCCACTGAGAGGAGGCAGTCCCTTCAGGTGCTGGAGTGGGCAGTGGAACGCTCCAGATGTCAGGCTCAGAGCCACAGCCCTCTCTCAGCAGAGGCATCCAAGGAGAGTCGTCCAGTATCACTGTCTATGGGGAAATACTTGCAGACAGGGAAGGTTCACGTTGCAGAGAAAACCACCTTGTGAACGTGCTAACTGCACAGAGGGCTCACTGCCTCACCTGAACCCTAAAGAGGTGGGAGTGCGGGCACCTTTAGGATGTCCTCTCCTGCCAGACGTGGTGGCTGGCAGCAGCATAAATTCATGTGTGCCAGAGGCTTGCTGCCTTGGAGTGAGTGTAGGTGAAAGTCTAACTTTTCCATAGTTAGATATGTGGTTAGTTGGTGCTGGTCCCAAGCAATGGATCCTAATAATGACAGCTTCAGACAAACTAACAAAGACCAGTAGATCTTACGTTGTTTCTTGCACTTTGTTCTAATCTAACAGCCAGTGCTCATGCAAGATGTCACGAAACCCATAACCTGCCAATAGCTGAAGACTCATGCCAAAATGCCACTTGTCCTCAAGTCTTTACCTTGTCAACTTCCCACACCTGTGTGCTGGCCATGTGGAAGGCAGGGGACCCCAGTTCCCAGAGCTGGGGCTGAGCCCCCCTCTTCCTTCTCTCAGGGGTCCTCACAACAATAAAGCTGCTTTGTTGGTTTCGTACAGTGGGCTCTTAGGATCTCAGACTTGGTTTGCTCTTAGAATGAGCAGTTGGAGTGGCCCTGTTCAGATAAGGCCACTAAGGTGAAGGCATCTCATGCCTCCTCCTCCTTTTCAGTGTCACCATGCAGGCCTGGCTGGACAGGAGGACAGGAGTCAGGTCCACCTGCAGGACCAGAAGGGACGTGGAGCCTCCTGAAGAGGGGTTATGAAAAACGAAGTGACTCTCCTTTTTTACAGACAAGATCATGTTTCTCTAGTACTGCAGGGGTAGGGATTAGACATGTTTTAAAATATGAACTTTTATTCACTAGTGGAGGTTTCTAAGGATTTCTTAGAATAGTGCTTGGATCAGGCTAAGAGCTACAAGAGTTAAAACTGAATTCTACCCTGGAAACCTCCACGGTACTTCTCCTTTTGTG